AAAGAGTGGGTCAAGCTGAAGCCAGGCTTCCCCTGGGGCAGGAGTGGGGCTGGAGAAGCTGAGCCACAGCAGCAAGCAGGACCTAGGCACAGGGCTGCCAGAGGGGCAAGGGGGCGGAGACAGGAGGAGACTGGACTGAGTGGATTTGCAGATTTCTCCTTGAGCCAGTATTTCATGAATCTCAGCTTTAAGAAACTAGGATATGAAGGTTCTTAATCCAAGATCCATCACAGGCTTCCACACTCCATGACTTTCTGGAAAGTATATGCAATACTGTGTGTGTGTCCAACTGCATTTTGGGGCAAGGGTGTCCACGGCTTGTATCAGACCCTCAATGAGTTCTGAGCCACTGAATCAGGTTACCCAAGTGTCCTTCCCTTACAGAGAAGACCCAATTTTCCACTTAGGGTCCCCCTTGGCTTTCAAACTACCCATGGGTGCAGCCATGTCTCTGGAGAGGGTTCTACTCCTAGGAAGACGGGCTCCTCTTGCAGCAGGACTGGCTACCACCCACGTTGGCATGGTACATGGGAGAAAGGTCTTGGAATGAAAACTTGGGTTAACCCCAGCTCTGTTACTTGATTATTACAGCAAGACTGATGACATTATCTGTTCTAATGACTGGATGGTCCTTGTCATGAGCATCAAACGAGACACGGAGAATTGTGTAAAGTTCTCAATGAATGGCTACTGCTGTTGAAAGAGGGGCTTGAGAAATGGGTCCCACTATCCCCAACAGTCACTAGCACCTTTACCTGACAAGATGAGGTTTAACGAATGCTTGCTCCGGATGCTCCGGGCTCTCAACCTGCAGAGCATCCTCCAGCAGCTGGGCTATGACATCCCGAGAAGGCCCCTGTTCTTCTGAGCAAACTGGTGTCTTCATTTCTTGGAGCAGTATCAAGTATTTGCTTTCTATCTGGCAGAGCTTGGCTTCCAGGCTAGAATACTACAGAGAATGTGGTAGTTACCTCCAATCAGACAGAGACACAGGAAGAGCAATCCTTAAGTACCTCAAGCAATCAAAGAATGACAAGCCAAGAACCACTAGCAAGTGAGCCAGAGAGAGACTGCATCAAAGACAAGAGATGGGGCTTCCCTGGTGGCGCAGTGGTTGAGAGTCTGCCTGCCGATGCACGGGACACGGGTTCGTGCCCCGGTCCGGGAAGATCCCACATGCCACGGAGCGGCTAGGCCCGTGAGCCACGGCCACTGAGCCTGCGCGTCCGGAGCCTGTGCTCCGCAACGGGAGAGGCCACAACAGTAAGAGGCCCGCGTACCGCAA